GTTTACATTTTTAATATTGTTTAAATTGGTGGACTAGATAGGTTTTAAAGTTGCATAAATTTGTTTGATGACTATAGGTGCCTTGCACCATACGCCAATTTTCCCTTACTTTGTTCCTGTAACTAAATGCATAGATGATCTGTAACCGACTGCCAATCACATTTTTAGCTTAAATTCGAAGAGCGAAAAAAAAAAGGAAAGAATATCGTCAGGTCCATGAACAAGTCTCTGCTACTACTTCAACAAGCACTTATTTTCAGTCCCTTCACTTGGGATGTCTTCTGTAGGAGTTGACATTGACATTATCAAATACGTGATGTCGTCGATCTTTCTTTTTTTATTTTAATTTTTTAACATTTCCATGCGTATTTTGTGTTCACATTTGTTTCCTTTTTTGATGAGAAACAAAATGGACACAAGTCCGATGTTGTGCGTTCTCATCAGTACCTCCCCTGCCATATTTAGTAGTAGGTAATTTGCTAAATCTGGCAATAGATTGGGGGAGGTAGAGGGGAGGTAATTTACCTCACCGAGTGCTAAGCTCCCCTACCAAATTTAGTAACAAAACGTTACCAATTCTGGTACTGATTAGAGCACCCTAAGGCTTGCGTCTTATGCCTGGCCCATTTTGAGCTAGTCAATAATAATACTTCCCAAATGCAGTAGGAGAAGTAGCCAAATTTAGTAACTCGAAGCGTTACTATATCTGGTAGGGGAGGTAACTGATGAGAACGCACTTGGTTCCCACTTTTCATTGCCTAAATTAGAAATACAACTCAAATTTGGAAGGTGAAAAAAAAAAATCGGAACAGAAACAGGAACATGACTATAGGACCACAATATCATATATCCAATTTAAGTCGACATTTTAAATTAAGAAATGTAAAATTTTGCTCTGGTCCCATAAAGGGAACCCGTGGAACCAGTAACAGGAGATCGAGAAAAAAAAAAAAAATAAAAATAAAAATAAAAATAAAAATAAAAATAAAAATAAAAATAAAATAAATTTTGCGTGTTGGTGTTCGTGGGGATTGCGCTATGCTGCGCATTATACAATGCCCAAAGATAAGGGAAAAGCTCCGGCATCGTCCATGCCATATTCGCTTCGCAAAATAAAAACATCCAAACGAGCCAATGCAAAACCTGACGAAACTTCAGCTACGCCAGGTCCCGTCACTCTATACTGCTTGGTTCGCGGTAAAGACCTTAGACATGCTTTCCAGTCAAGATTAAGAAGGACGCAACTGTCGGAGAGTTTAAGGATGCAATAAAAGCAGTAAAACTAAATGACTTTGCTAAATTTGATGCCGACACTATTGTGTTGCGAAAAGTGAACATTCCTACAACGGAAAAAACAGCATTTGAAGCAGTCAAAAATGCCGAGGCAGACATCGAAACGGATTTAGGTGTCGTAACGATAGAAGACGTGGCATCAGTGATCGCAGACGAATATTCGGTAACTTGCCTGCCAAGAAACATATTCATGTCATTGTTGAGCTCCCGCAAGGTAAAAAGTGCATTCTTTTATTACTTCTGTTACGGTCGGGAATTAAATTGGGGGTTTTGGGAGAGCGATTTATCTTTTCGTGTAGGTGTGTTCGCCGACCGGGG